CTCCATCTCTTTCTTGCCTAAGTGCTATGGCTAGGACTTTCTGTACTATGTTGAATAAAAGTGGTGAGAATGAGCATCTTTGCTTTGTTCCTGAGCTTAAAGGAAAAGCTTTCAATCTTTCACTATTGAGTAGGATGTAGCTGTGGGCTTGTCATATATGGCCTTATTATGTTGAGGTACATTCCTTCTATACTTACTATGTTGAGAGTTTTAATCATGAATAAATGTTGAATTTTTGTCAAATATTTTTCTGCATCTATTGTGATGATCTTTTGATTTTTATTTATTTTTTTAAGATTTTATTTATTTGACAGACAGAGATCACAAGCAGGCAGATAGGCAGGCAGAGAGAGGAGGAAGCAGGCTCCCTGCTGAGCAGAGAGCCTGATGTCGGGCTGGATCCCAGGACCCTGAGATCATGACCTGAGCCAAAGGCAGAGGCTTAACCCACTGAACCACCCTGGCACCCCGATCTTTTGATTTTTAATTTTTCATTCTATTAATGTGGTGTATCACATTATTTGACTTGTATATGTTCAGCCATACTTGCCTCCCAGGGATAAATCCCACTTGATTATAATATATGATTCTTTTCTTGTGCTGTTGAATTTGGTTTGGTAGTGTTTTGTAGGACTTTTGCATCATGTTCATCAGAGATATCGTGGTGTCCTTGTCTGGTTTTGGTATCAAGTTAATGCTAGCTTTATAAAATGAGTTTGGAAGTATACTTTCTTCTTCAACTTTTGAAAAAGTTTGAAATGTATTGGTATCCTTTTTAAATGCTTGATAGAACTCACAAGTGAAACCATCTGGCACTTGGTTTTCCTTTGTTGGGAGGTTTTTGATGTAGTCTCAATCTATTTGTTACTGGTCTGTCAGATTTTCTATTTCTTTATGATTCAGTTTTGTAGGTTGTATGTTTCTGGGATTTACCCATTTTTTCTAGGTTATGCAATTTGTTGACATGTAATTGTTTATAGTAGTCTCTTATGATCCTTTGTATTTCCGTGTTATCTGTTGTAATGTCTTTTCTTTGATTTCGTCTTCTCTCCTTTTTTCCTGGTCTAAGGGTTTGACTTTTTTTATCTTCAAAAAAACTGTTTTTTTTTCCTACTGTTTTCTGGTCTCTATTTCATTTATTTCTGCTCTTTTCTTTATTTCCTTCCTTCTACTAACTTTGGGCTTTGTTCATTCTTCTTTTTCTAGTTCATTAATATGTAAAGCTATGTTATTTATTTCTTAATGTAGGTGGTTATCACTATAAACTTCCTTCTAAGAACAGCTTTTACTACATCCCATAGTTTTAGTATATTGAATTTCTATTTATTCACCTCAAGCATTTTTAAATTTTTCTTTGATTTCTTCTTTGACCCTTAGTTGTTCAGGAGGGTATTATTTAATTTCTACAGATTTGTGAATTTTCCAATTTTCTTCCTATTTAATGTCTATTTTCATGTGGTCAGAAAAGATACTTGATATGATTTCAGTCTTCTTAAACTTGTTAAGGCTTGCCTTATGGCATAATGTATGTTCTATACTGGAGAATATTTCATGTGCACTTAAGAATAATGTGTATTCTGTTTCTTGTGAATGGAATGTTTTATATATGTTTGTGAAGTCCATTTTATTTTTTAATTTATTATTTATTTTTAAAATGATCTTATTTATTTGTTTGTTTATTTATTTACTTATTTATTTTGGTGGGGGGGGGAGCAGAAGGGGAGGGAAAGGGAGGAGAAAAGAATCTTATGCAGACTCCATGGTGAGCCCCACCCAGAGCTCAATTTCATGACCCCTGTGATTGTGACCTGAGCCAAAACCAAAAGACAGACACATTATCAACTGAGCCATCCAGGCCTCCCCCACCACCCCATTTAATTTATAGTGTTGCTCAAGTCTACTGTTTCCTAATTGATTTTATATCTGAGTAATCTATCCATTGTTGAAAGTAGGATATGGAAGTGCCCTATTCTGGTGTTACATGTAAACAATTACTTTTGGAGCACTACATCAAAAACTAATGATGTGTTTTATGGTGACTAACATAACACAATAAAAAAATAGTGCCCTATTATTGCTATCTCTGTCTCCTTTCAGTTTTGTTAATATATGCTTCATATATCTAGCTACTCCAATGTTGGATGCATATATACTTACAATTGTTGCATCCTTTTGATAACTTGGTTCTTTTATCATCATATAGTGACTTTGTTCCCTCTTATGACAGATTCTAAGTTGAAGCCAGTTTTGTCTGATATAAGAATAGCTACTTCTGGGGGCGCCTGGGTGGCTCACTGGGTTAAGCCTCTGCTTTCAGCTCAGGTCATGGTCTCATGGTCTCAGGGTCTTGGGATTGAGTCCCGCATCGGGCTCTCTGCTCAGCAGAGAGCCTGCTTCCCCCTATCTCTCTGCCTGCCTCTCTGCCTACTTGTGATCTGTCTGTCAAATAAATAAATAAAATCTTAAAAAAAAAATAGATACTTCTGCTCTCTTTTGGTTTCCATTTGCATGGAATATCTTTTTCATCCTTCAGTTTCAATCTATGTGTGTCATTAAAGCAAAAGATACATTTTTTTTCCTGAAAGAGAATATTTAATAAAAAATGGTGCATGTGGACTTGAATTTCCTTGATGATTGCCTCAGTATTCTCCTTTATCTTTGTTGGTATAAGCTTAGCTTCACTGACATTTCTGGAGGATATTTCTAACTCTATCACTGAATGTTTTCCAAAGTCTTATAAAAGTAGTGGTTGTTGATTATTTCACCCATTCGCCAATTATTTATTGAGCTCCTACAACGTGCAAGACAATTTCTTCAAGAGGAAGCTGATTAAACATCAGCTCTTAGGTTGCCTTACTTATCTCAGCAGATTGCGCTTCCATAATAACTACTGTAATCAGTCCCCATTTTCAAGGGTTTCCATGTGGTATTCATTTATTCACTTATTTAACAATTTGTACTCCTTAAGCACCTTATGTTCTTAGTTAAAGATTTGTATTCCTTAAGCATCCAATGTTCTTTCTACCCTATGTGGCAAGGATTATATATTGAGGACAGCAGGCTGGTTATCCACCCTAAGGTAGTATGCATTCTGGATGGAGAGAGAAATACCAGGAAAGGTAACATATTATTACAGAAGAGATTCTTTCTAGCTTCTGTCATTATATAATGATTAAAAAATAATTTGAGTATAATATAGAGAGAGAATATAAGTTGCAAGGGACAGAACTATTCAAATGGATCAGACTCTGTATAAATGTCTCTGATGTGACATTTAAGAAAGAGACAATGTTGATATACACAAAAGCTAAGCGTGGAAAGGACAAAACAAAACTAAACATGTTCCCTACTTTCAAGGAGACTAGTTTCAGTAGACAAGTCAAATCCAGACTGGTATATTTTTTAAATTCAGATTTTTGCAATGTGCACTGTCAAAAGTTGCTTAATAATATGATTTTTTAATGATAATAGTGATGATTTTTTAAAAAATGATTTTAACTATTAGTATTCCCATGAACACTAGAAGCACAAATTAAAAAAGATGCTTGTTTGTTTCTAATAGTCTTCATAGTAATAGTACTTTAAACAATGATTTTTTTTCAGAGAATCAAAAATTATAAGTTATTCTGGAAGTTTGCATTTACTATGAAAGGTTTTATCTGGTATCTAGTTGATAAAAGATAAATTTCTAAGATAGTCATCTTAATTGGGCAAAATGATTATATTCTTTGTATTGTAAGTATGTCTAATTGAGATTCTAAGATGGTACATTTTGTTTTACTTAGAGATATTTGATTAAGATCACATTAAAATGTTTTAGAAAATATAGATGTTTCACTACTTAAAAATATTCTTGTTCTATTTTTGAAGTAATTTTTCTCAATATCAGAAGAATATATCATTATAAAAATTTTGCTCTTATTGCTCATGATTACTTTATCAGTAAGGAAGGATCAGATCACGACAAAGAGTTTTTCCTGCTCTGTGCTCAATGATTTCTCAGAGGGAAGAGTTAAAAATGTGGGCTGGCTGATTCTTGAGGAAGAAGGGAGCCCCAGAGCGGTGAGCAGGCCCCCAAAGAAAATATCAAAAAAGTGCTTATTCCTGGATCTCTGTTTTTTCTGGTCTCTGCTCTTTCCAATATGAAGGTCACTCCAAAGAAATACTATCCAGCAAAGAGAAGCAGAGCAAATAACACAATTTTCCAATTGATCAAATAAAATATTTGTTTTATCTGTTACATAGTGTTGATAAAAATGAAAAATATGTCTCACTTATGAATTTCCTTGATGATGGTGCTAATGAAGATGATTTTCTTCCTCCTTTTTCTCCCTTTCCTTGTTCTGTTTTTTTTCTTTTCTTTTCTTCCTCTTCCTCTTCCTTCCCCCCAAATTTACTCATGTTTCAACAACACCCGTAAGCAATTGATTCCTTTAAGTCACAACTCCTGCATCATATTTAGACACAATTTGTATAAATTTTTACTGGCCCACATAATGTTTTTTGTAAATCACTCGATGTTTTCAGACAGGTTGGCTTTTGCTAAATTGAATGGCTATATTTGAAACATTTACTCCTTTATTACAAATAGATACTAGCTTTTATTGTCAGAGCCTTAGATGTGGGAGAATTGTTAATGATTGGAATTGCAAGTAAGGGCTTATGCTATAAATTACCAGTTTAGTTCTTCACATTCACATAAAGCTGGTTTCCACAACTACATAATTCATATCACAAGCTAGTAATATGTATTTCATAGCATTGCATATGTTAACAATAAATGGTGACTTTCTGGCTTCATTGATCTAAGCATGGATAGGATGGTTAATATACATAGCATTCATTCCTAATTTGTGATCTACATTAGGTAATATCATCTCACCATAATTGGATCTTAGTACCCAGACATATTAAAACTCACTTTTAGAATACTTTGCAGCCACAGTAATAAGAAAAGATTTTCTTTTTGTGCTTCTGTTTATTTTGTTCACCTTGTCCAGATGTGGATGTCATTGAGTGCTCCTTGCAGTTCCCAGATGATGATTACTCCTGGTGGGACCTCTTCATGAAGATCTGTGTCTTCGTCTTTGCCTTTGTGATCCCTGTCATCATCATCATCATCTGCTACACCCTGATGATCCTGCGTTTGAAGAGTGTCCGACTCCTTTCTGGCTCCAGAGAGAAAGATCGCAACCTCCGTCGGATCACCAGGCTGGTTCTGGTGGTGGTGGCGGTCTTTATCATCTGTTGGACCCCCATTCACATTTTCATCCTTGTGGAGGCTCTGGGGAATGCTTCTCATAGCACAGCTGCCCTTTCCAGCTATTATTTCTGCATTGCCTTAGGTTATACTAACAGCAGCCTGAACCCCATTCTCTATGCCTTTCTTGATGAAAACTTCAAGCGATGTTTCAGAGACTTCTGCTTTCCAATTAAGATGAGGATGGAGCGACAGAGCACTAGTAGAGTCAGAAATACAGTTCAGGATCCTACTTACATGAGGGATGTTGATGGGATAAATAAACCAGTATGACTAGTCATGGAGATGTCTTCTTACAGTTCTTCAGGAAGAGAAGAGTTTAATGATCTCGGGTTAACTCAGATTAGTACTGAAGTCTGAGATGGAAAGGTAGAATTTTTAACAAACTTTTAGAAATCTCATGGTCTGAAGTTGTAAGATGCAGGCTGGGTTGGCCACTCAGGTCTGTGGAAGTATCAAAGCTGTAGGGATGGAGTATAAAGGATTTGAGTAAGCAAATTCAGCCTCTTTATAAGGCAAGGAAGCAAGGCTGACTCTCAGTTCCTTTGATGAACAAAGAAATAAGCCTTTTTCTTCTGATTACCTAGATTTAGTCCAGGACCCATCTGCTGTGGCCTTTCTGTGCAGTGTGGTTCCAAAAGCTCTGTTTAGAAAAAAGGACAAGGAAAAATTATTGGTTTCAGAGCTTAGTGGATGACCTATCCAGATGCTTTACATTGACAACAACAACCTGAAAAAAACAAGAACCATTTCCAGGACATGTGCCTAGCTCACTTTATGCTATGTGGACACACATTTCATGTGGCTGTGTAGTGATGACTCTGGCTTAAGTATGGCTTGGACCCACACCTGAGGTGTCTGATGTTCATGTATAATAGGAAATTATCTTGATATTTATGAAGTTATTTAACATGCAAAAGGTGATTTCCAACATAGTTTAATTTCTTAAAAGGCACAGTTCGTTTCGCAGCATGCTATTCAGATAAATAATTTCATGATAAAGCATGTCCTGATGTCAAGAAATACAAAGTGGTTTAAATACCACTGAAGTATATATATTTCATCTGTAATTAATAGTATACATGCTAATAAGGGCTGGGCTTGCCCCCCAGTCAGGCACTTTCCTGAGGACATACTCACAATATCCCCTGAGTTATTAACAATAGATATGGAGACATTTTGTGGCAACAGGAGCTTCACTCTGGGAATTGGTCAGACACCGTCTTTGTCAGACGCCATCTTTTTCAGACCCTTGAGCACCATTTAGGCAATTCAGTGGTGCTTATAACTCATGTGTTAAACAAACACAAAATATTTTACTCATTCCCAGGTTGTTGACTTGACAGAATCCAATTTATATGCAACATCTCCTCATGAATATATAGCTTTACCAAACGTTCTTTATCTGTGGTGGGAGGGCATTTTGCTCATGTTAATCTTGGGCTAGGATTTTGTGGTTTTTGGCAGGAAGTAGAAATGTTCCTAATTGCGGGCTGAACAAGGACATTATGTCACCTGTGGTGCTTGGCCATACCTTGCACTGTGTTCTGTGAAGAACATACCAGCTGAGGATAATGCTATGAGAGCACATTTAGGATAATTTTGCTAAAACTTCCAGATGATATATTAATTCCCTCATCTTTCCCCTGAAAGTTATGATTTCAAAGGTAATGGCTTTTTCTATAATTTGCCTGGGGAGAAGAAAGGGATAATTTAGAAATAACCCCTGTCTCTTCTCTTCCTTAATCTTATATGTTATTAGGGCAGCACCTCCTGGAATTTAATGGGAAAATCAAATTTATAGTCCTACATACTCATAGACATCATTACATCTATAATTTCTGTTCACTGTGTACTTTCTGTCTTGTGTATATACTCCTTTTGGAAGCAAACCTTGCACTGAAGGCTTTATATGTGGCTATTGATGATACTTGTCTATATTCCAGATTTTCATGGCATCTGACAGATGACTTAAGGCCAAAAGGCAAAGTTCTTCCAAATGAACCCACAGTGCTCTTTGAGCATTTCTTAAATTTCACTTGTTTTCTTTGGTGTCCTTGTATTCTTACAACTAAATGTAGATAGGAATGGCTTAAATATTGGTTGGCATTTACCCCATGGTTAAAAATCTTGGCTACCATATAGAAGGGATATTTATGCAGAGAGCAGTTTCAGGAACAAGCCCTACTGATGGGAGAAATATACAAATCTCTTTATGGAACAGTAAGACCCAGGGGATTTTCTTGAAGGATTCTTACACAGTGCAAAAATATACATTCATGGAATAAAATTATAGTAACTATAGTAATCGTTTCTCTTTCACTTAGCACCCCACGTGCCCTTATGGCATCTGTTGCCATTATTAGAGTCTGAACTTTAACCAGATTATCCTGCATGTCTTTATACCTAAGTTTGCAGCTCATGGAGAGAGAGAAGTAGCTCTGAGTGCCCATGAGAGATGTTCTAAGTTCTCTATTATTGTGGGCACCAATTACCCCAAACGGGAAGAAGAGAGAGAGGCTTTGTCATTTTAGGGCACCATTTTAAAGAATGAAAAAGTGAGTCATCCATGTTAAAGAAAATACCATTTACACAAAAATATTCATTTGTCAAAAGTGTGTATGTGGGCATGCATGTGCAAGTAAGTGAGTGTATATGTCGGTGTGCTCATGTGATCATGTGAGCATACGTGAAAGTGTCAATATATGTCTTTCTGTGTGTGCATTGTGGGTGTGCATAGCTGCATGTGTGGATATATGTGTGTGATTGTGTAAGTATGCACATGTGAGTGTACATGTTTGTGCATGTATTCATGAGTATATGTGTTTTTGTGTATGTGATTTTGTGTGCATGCGTTTGTGAGTGTGAGTGCATGTGTGTATATATGTGATTGTGTGTTCACATGCATGCATGTGTATGTGAGATGATGTATGTTTGTCTATGTTCCATGTTTTGATATTCTTGCTTTCTCATCACAACAAGGAGGCTACACACAGACCAGAACTGTGTGTATCAAACCTCAAGATCAACACTACCTAAATTCCATCTTCCCACCCTGGTGACTTCTGGAAGATAAGATCTATTGAGGGGTCATAAAAAGATGCAGAGAAATGAAACAACCATGCAGGAGACAGCAATGAGGATGAAAACCCATAATTCTAGCTGGGGGAGACTGGCATTAATGTCTCAGAAATACTCCTAAGAATCTAAAAGCATCCCCTATGCAGAGAGCTGAAGTCAAAACTCGAAGCATAATGCTACAACGAACACAGTTTGGAAAGTTAGTTTTGAAAAAATCAAGGAATATTCACATAAATCTTAAGAAAGTGGTTTCATTCTATGATGTGTTGCTGAGAAATACAGGTTCTTAAATCCGTAGAACCATTATTGGATAATTTATAGATGTTTTATCTAGTATTGGGACATAATAAGGTGAATAACTGGAATACACTTCATTGGTATTCCTTACTAGCTCGCTCTAAAATTAGATTTTTTTAACGAGAAAACTATGACAAGGCTATATGTCCATCCAATGAGATTTATTTTTTAAACAAGAACTGTTTAGAAGTTTTAGCATAAGTACGAAAATCCCATCCCAAAAGGGCATAAACCTGTTTGCTCTGAGGCAGTTCTCTTCCCTGAAACAAAAGTATACTCATATATTCTTTATTGTATATATTTATATCTTGTAATTTTGGAAGGTGATAATTACGTATTGTATATAAGATTGTGTGTCTTGCAATAAAATAAAAATTGTGCCTGCTCAAAACACGAGTCGATTACTGTGGTAAATCATATATTCTTTAATGGCTTTGATGATGCTGTACTTCAGTAAGAACAATGTTAACTGTTTCTCAAAACTAAAAACAGTCTCTTTGTTTTTTCATCCATGACAATGTTGTGGATAATTAATGGAAAGGAGCAAAACATGTAAGGATCTAAACTACGATCTTAAATTCTAAAACCTACCAATCCCTTAGGAAAATTCACGTCTTTCCACAGTTATCCTGTCAGGATCCAAGAATCAATGTTACACACAGTGTTCTCTATGGAAAACCACTTTTCCATTATGGAAAATATTCAAAATTCAAAACAAAACTGTCCCATCAATAAAAACATAAAGAAATCAACCTCTGCTGCCCTTCTTCCAATACAACAGCATTGCCACTGTAAATTACTTTTTGCTAAGCCTCATGGTATTTGTACACATAAAGAGTAATTTAAAAACCTGTATCTTGACAAAAGGAATATTTTTTTTTGAAGTAGAAACAAACTTAGAGAAGGAAGTCAAAGAGGGACTCCTCTTGCTAATTGGAGAGAACACACTAGCATGGCCCACTTTTATTTAAAACAGCAAATTTCTTGTTACAAACTTTATCTTTGATTGATAACTCACTTTCATTTGGGATTGGATATCAAGTGTGTTATAGTTGTACTGAAGAGAAAACTAAATTTGCAGCAAATTTTAGGCATTACAATATCTTCTCCTCTCTGTAATTAATTTGTTATGCTGTACATTCCTACAGATAGTCTCGAGGTTTGTAGAAACTAGTTGATAATGATAAAAAACAAATATTGTAACTATTTTTTTCAGTAGCTGTTGCTTGAGAGGATATTCAATCATATTTATGTCAGGAATTATGCCAGATTCTTCCTAGGTAAATAAAACATATAATTTTGATACTTATATCTAAGAAAAATAAACAAGGAAATAATTATAATGTACTGCAATGAGGGCACAACTTAGTGGATACAACCTATTCTAAAAGGTATATCTATCCATTTATGTAGACATACTTTTAAAAATGCTTTAATCTATGTCTATACATTGCACTTGAAACTACTAGAAAAGTTAGAGTAATGGTATTCTTACATATGAAGATAGTTAAAATGGCAACTACTAGTAAATAAGATAAGTGACTTCGTGGGTTTTAAAGAGTCAAGGAAGGCTATATGTTGAAAGCCAAATCATTCAGGAACAATATAATCTTGGAATTAATACCAAATGATAAGACATTGATAATTACGACCTGTGCTATAAAGGTGTTTGTAAAACAGAGACCAAACTACAGGGTCTAGTGTAGTTACTTTCAACAATTTTTAATGGAAATAGGAAAGAGTTAAAAATAGCTGGTTTGCAACCAATTCATCCCTTTGAAGAGGAGCCCTCTTTACAGGTGGGGCAGGAACAAAGATGTTAACTGCCTAATATCCTCAACAGGATCTCTGAAAAATAATGATTTTTGCCTGGTGGAAGAGACCTTATCCATAGAATGCCCTTAGCAGGATGTCCCTGGCTAGAAGATTACTTGTAATAAACCAGTAAGTTTATAGTTTTGAAGGGCATAAAGTGGGTATGTTTCATAATGTAAACACTTCTTGCTGTTTGAAGGGGCCTACAACTGCATCAGAAATCTCAGCTGTTATTTAGGGAAAGAGATTCAATGTCAGATGTGGGAAAGTAGGGCCAGGGACCACTTGTGAAGTCTCATATGACTCTCTACTTCATCAAAACTGTGGGTTTTCTGTATCCTTGAAAGTACAAATAAAACTTTATATTTCTGTGTGATATTGTGCCTCAACTGGAAATTCAGCCTAAAAATATGCTGTTCAAGCCTAGGAGTTATTTACTGAAGAAAAGTATCAGTTAAGTTTTGATTTAAAACTAACAGTGCTGCTATGGCTAGTGCTAATTATTATACAACCGCTTGTTTATTGTTATACTGAGTGTTTTCTATGTCCTGAGTTCATACAATCAACGAGCCTATGAGTTAGTTGAAATGGAAAAGTCAAGTAAGTTTGCCAATGTGGCAGAATAAGTGGCAGAGACTATGACATGGAAAATAACGACATTTCTCAGGATCAGTGTTCTCGGATGTTGGTAAGCTGCAACAGAAGAGATCGAGAAAGTAAACATTAACATACACTTGGGAATTAGATGGCTTTGATTAAATCCTATATCCAGCTCAGATTTGTGTGGTCATAGGCAAGATATTATTTTTTCTGCATGACAGTAACCTCTGTTAAACATTGACAGAAAGAATATCTACCACATGAAATTATTGGGCTCCTATAACAAAAGTCAGTACTCAATAAGTGTTAATTAATATAATTACTATTATTCTCAATTAGACCCATTGCAAAAACATTGGATTCCATGATTTCCATAGTTTCTTCCAATTCTAAAACTGCACAGCTCCGAGATTCCCTGTGGGCTGCTTCACACAGCCATGTGACACATCACTGCCATGTGACACATCACGCCATGTGAAGTTCAGCAGGTAGTGAGGACACAACTCTGGAAAGAGAACTCCCACAGCTATCTACCACAGTACCAATCTTGTCAAACCTTCCATTCTTTCCTCAGTGGCTCCAAAAGAAGAAAGGGGAAGACTGGTGGGAGTAGAAAGTCAGGGACAGCAGCATTTAAAAAAAAAAAATTATTTTATTTTTTTCACTGTTCCAAGATTCATTGTTTATGCACCATATTCAGTGCTCCATGCAGTGCATGCCCTCCTTAATACCCACCACCAGGATCAACCAACACTCCACCTCCCTCTCCTCCAAAATCCTCAGTTTGTTTCTCAGAGTCCACAGTCTCTCATGGTTTGTCTCCCCCTCCAATTTCCCCAAGTCACTTCTCCTCTCCTTCTCCCAATGTCCTCTGTGTTATTCCTTATACTCTACAAGTAAGTGAAACCATATGATACTTGACTCTCTCTGCTTGACTTATTTCACTCAGCATAATCTTCTCCAGTCCCATCCATGCTGATACAAAAGTTGGGTATTCATCCTTTCTTATAGAGGTATAATATTCCATTGTATATATGGACCATATCTTCTTTATCCATTTGTCTGTTGAAGGGCATCTTGGCTCTCTCCACAGTTTGGCAACTGTGGTCATTGCTGCTATGAAGATTGGGGTACAGATGGCCCTTTTTTTTCCACTACATCTGTATCTTTAGGGTAAATACCAAGTAGTGCAATTGCAGGGTCATAGGGTAGTTCTATTTTTAATTTCTTAAGAAATCTCCACACTGTTTTCCAAAGTGGCTGCACTAATTTGCATTCCCATCAACAGTGTAAGAGGGTTCCCCTTTCTCCACATCCTCTCCAACACTTGTTGTTTACTGTCTTAATTTTGGCTATTCTAACTGGTATAAGGTGGTATCTCAGAAGAATGAAACTTGACCATTCTCTTACACCATACACAAAGATAAACTCAAAATGGATTAAAGACCTCAACATGAGGCAGAAATCTATCAGAATCCTAGAGGAGAACATAGGCAGTAACCTCTTTGACATCGGCCACAGCAACTTCTTTCAAGACATGTATCCAAAGGCAAAGGAAACAAAAGCAAAAATGAACTTTTGGGACTTCATCAAGATCAAAAGTTTCTGCACAGCAAAGGAAACAGTCAACAAAATAAAGAGGCAACTCACAAATGGGAGAAGATATTCGCAAATGACACTACAGACAAAGGGCTGATATCCAAGATGTATAAAGAACTCTGCAAACTCAACACTCAAAAAACAGATAATCACATCAAAAAATGGGCAGAATACATGAACAGACACTTCTCCAAAGAAGACATACAAATGGCTAACAGACACATGAAAAATGTTCATCATCATTAGCCATCAGGGACAGCAGCATTTAAAGGAATATGCATGTGAATGGTATTCACAGGTGGAGGTGGAGGGTGGGTTGAGATGTGGGAAGGGAAGAATGAGAACAGCACTGTCATTTGCCTCAGCTGGCACAGGGATGGGGAACACGGCATTCTGACAGCTGTATCACTTCTCTCCTGTTCTGGGAAAGGGGCTCCAGATTTATGTATAGCCAAGAAGAAAACCCACAATGCAAATATTTATA